AGGAATAAAGCTGTGAAACTAACATTTCGTGTATTACAGATATGTGTTAATGATGACAAACATGTAAGTCAAATAGTCTATACAATTCAAAACAGAAGATGAAGAAACTATTTCTTTATACAGAAACAAAACAGGAATGGGCTGTGGCATATACAAAGTAGCAATATCAACAATTAGAGTAACATTGAAGAACAATAAAACAAAGTGCCAAAATATAGTTGTAATAATATTTCTGATGAATTTGATGAATGGGGATGGTGAATAGGGGAGATGGAGGAGGTGTCCCATGCCACCCCAAAGTGTGGTGTGTCTTTAAATACCAGGGCAGAAAAGAACTGGGCCAGGTGCCATTTTGAACCACTATTGGGCTTGGCATTATTTGCCACGATGGGAGTCACGGTGGATTCAAATTTTTTTCTGGAGACTGTAGTTTTGCTCCTGGTACCTTCAAATGTGTTGAAGTATAACTCCTCCCTCCCCAGCCAGTCTTTTATCATGGCGATCTTTCGGGAGTGGCCTCATCTGGAACTTGTAGCTTTTCCTAGTACAAAATTTTAGGCCTAGGGAAGTGAGTGGACAACCTGTGGCCCTCTAGATGTTGTAGAACTGTGTCTCCCATCAGCCCTAGCAAGCATAACTAATGGGTTGGGATCATGGGATTTGCAGACAGCAAGATATGGAGAGCCACACATTCCCTGTCCATGATGTAGCCCAATCTTGAATGGCAAAGGAAGCATTGGGCCAAGTGAGTCCAGAGGCCTATCTCGTCCAGTATTCTTTTCTTATTGGTCAGCCATTGCCTATGAGAAGCCCACAAAATAAGACACATATGCAATAATAGTTTTTGCAGGATCTTGGGTAGATTTTGTAATGCAAGGACTTAAGAGTCTTTGAAAAAGAAATCTTCAAATTAGATAAACCAAATACAGTGGTGCCTCGCTTAACGATTTTAATTGGTTCCAAAAAAACATCGCTATGGGAAAACATCGCTAAGCGAAACACGTTTTCCCATAGAGATGCATTGAAAACCGGTTAATTCGTTCCAATATGAACGGATTGCCGTCCTTAAGCGAAAATCCCCATAGGAAACATCATTAAGTGATACAATGTTTCCCCCATTGGAATGCATTGAAGCCTATTCAATGCATTGCAATGGTTTTGCGATGTCCGTTTTTGCAATTTTAAGTGTGTCTTAAAAGGTTCAAAAACTGTTTTAAATGCTTGGATTCGTTAGTGCACCTTCTAAAACGTGTGCAAACTTAATTTGGCTTTGTTCTGACTCTTCGTTAATTTGTGGTGAATTTCCCCCCATTGGAATGCATTGAACTGTCCATTCAATGCATTCCAATGGGGGAAAAATTCACCAAAAATTAGCGAAGACTCAGAACAAAGCCAAATTAAGTTTGCAAATGTTTTACAAGGTGCACTAACGATTCCAAGCATTTAAAACAGGTTTCAAACATTTTAAGACACTTTTAAATGAGCGAAAACAGACATCGTTAAGTGAAAATCACCCATAGAGAACATCGTTAAACGATGCGGAAAATTCCTTTAAAAAACCAATGGCTAAGCGAATACATCGTTAAACGAAGCAATCGCTAAGCGAGGCACCACTGTA